CCATCCCCGCTTCCGTTTGCGGTGACTCGTGTGGGTGTGATCTGTGTGAGCAAACAGCGTTTTGGCCAAGGGCTGGGCCACTGGGTTCTCTCCCCTACCCCCGGGGCGGGAGGGGAGGGATTTGGGCAGGTGAACCCGAAAAAGTCGGTTTGGCACCGCCTGGGATCTTTGATCCTGGGCTGGGGAAGAGGGCAGGGGGCTGAGCCGTTTGTGCTTGGAGAGGAATTTTAACCACTGTTAGATAAGAGGGATTCCGTCCACGGAAGCATTTAGGTCTCACGGCTGCAATCTGATCCCCCAGGCAGCCCCCTGCAGAGCCCCACGAAAGCCAAGGCGCAGAGGCAGCGTGTGTGTGGATCCAGTTGCAGGACTGGAGCCTTAAAAGGACAGGGTAGGGGTTTCAGGCTTCGATCCTGAGGGGCCTTGAGGTTTTTCTTAACGGCTTGGTTTGCAGACTCCATTGCCTTCTGATCGAAGCATGTCCCGATTTATTTTTTCTAACTCAAAAAGTGCTGCGTCCCACATGGGGGATTTCTGTCTCAGCCCTCATCTTGACAGCGAAAGAGGAATTAACCAGAGAACAACCGATTCGTGGCTGCTTAGCTGCACGTGATCATAACTTGAGTACATTAGTTATGTACAAGCAGAAAGTCCAGGCCAGCCATATGTATACTGGGTGCTTTAAAAAGGGCCATTCCACAAAGCTGAAAACCATTGTGAGCCAAATCTGCAGGAAGAAAGAATTTGAAGAGAGAAACGTGAATGGTAATTGGGGACTGTTTAAGAACATTATACTAAGATGGTCAAAAGACACAGGCAAGAAAGAATTTAGACTGTAAGCTCCTTGGGGCAGGGACTGGTTTTTTGTTCTGCATCTTCACAGCACCACGGCACAATGGGGTTCTGGCCCATGACTGGGGCCCCTAGAGCCTACAATGGACATAGACTAGATAAATAATAAGGTACAGTAATTAAAAAAACAAATTTCAGAGTAAGAGCCGTGTTAGTCTATATTCGCAAAAAGAAAAGGAGGACTTGTGGCACCCTAGAAACTAACCAATTTATTTGAGCATAAGCTTTCGTGAGCTACATTTCGGATGCATCCGATGAAGTGAGCTGTAGCTCACGAAAGCTTATGCTCAAATAAATTGGTTAGTCTCTAAGGTGCCACAAGTCCTCCTTTTCTTTTTAAAAAAACAAACTGGCTTGGGGGGAAGTGAAAGCAGCTATAAAAACAAAACAAAACCAACCCCCCAGTATATAACAAATGGAGAAAAGGGGAAGATGACAGCAATGAATCTAAATTAGAAGCTAGGAAGCACAGAAAGACACAAGGAGGAATCTTTGGCCAGCAGAGAAAAAGACACTAAAGAGGTTTTGGCATCCTAACAGGAGTATTGGTCCATTGTTGGATGGAAATGGCAGAATTGACAATGATAGCACAGAAAAGACAGAAATGTTCAATAACTATTTCTGTTCTACGGTTAGGAAAAAGCCAGGATGATGAAATATTTTTCATTTCAACAGTAACTAAAGAGAATGTTAAACAGCAGCGGTTAAAGCTTTCAAACGTTGACATTTTCAAATCAGCAGGTCTAGGTAACTTGCATCCAAGAGTTTTAAAAGAGCTGGCCGAAGAGCTCTCTGGACTGTTAATGTTGATTTTCAATAAGTTTAGCTGGGGGTGCTCCAGAGGACTGGGAGAAAGCTAATGTACTTATATTTAAAAAGAGTAAATGAGATGAGCTGTATAATTATAGGCCTGTCAGCCTGACATCGATTCCAGGCAAAATAATGGAACAGCGGATAGGAGAATTGAATAATAAAGACTTAAAGGAGGGTAATATAATTAATGCTGATCAACATGAGTTTAGGGGAAAACAGATCTTGTAAGACTAACTTGAATTTTTTGGAGGAGATTGCAGGTTTGGTTGATAAAGGTAATAGTGTTGATGTAATAGATTTCTGTAAGGGGTCTGACTTGATTCAAAAATTAGAAAAATACAAAATTAACACGGCACACATTAAATGGATTAAAAGCTGGCTAAGTGCCAGATCTTAACATGTTACCATAAATGGGGACTCCTTACTGAGCGGGTGTGTATCTAATAGGGAACCAGAGGGATTGTTTTTTGGCCCTTTGCATTTTAATCAGTGACATGGAAGAAAACATAAAATATGTGTCTGAGAAACTTTGTAGATGACAGAGAGTTTGAGAGAGGGGTAAATAATGAGGACAGGTCCCTGGTACAGAGCAATCGGGATCATATGGTAAACTGGGCTCAAGCAAACACTATGCATTTTAATACATCCATAAGTAAGGTCGTAATCAGCTGAACATGAGCTCCCAGGAAGATGCTGTGGCCAAAAGGGCTGACGTGGTCCCTGGATGTTTAAGCAGGGCAATCGTGAGTATTCCTCTGTCTTTGGCAGTCATGGAAAGCTACTGGAAAGCTGTGCCTAGTTCTGGTGTCTGCTATTCACGATGAGGATTGAAAAATCAGAGAAGAGAAGTTAGAATGATGAAGGGATTAGCAAACCTGCCGTGTATGGAAAGACTCAGGGAGCTCCAGCCGTTCAGTTTAAAAGCTGCAGCTTCTTGCTCCCTACGTGGGGAACAGAAATTTGGTAATACAGGGCTCTTCAGCCTAGCCGACAGAGATCTCGCAAGAGCCAACGGCTGGAAGCTGAAGCTGGACAGGTTTAGACTAGAAAGAAATTACAGATTTATAGCTCCGAGGGTAATTAACCAGTCGAACAACTTACCCAGGCTTGCTCCATCACTGGCCATTTTTAAAATCCAGAGCCAATGTTTTTCTAAAAGAGCTGCCCTCGTTCAGACAGGGAGTAATGGAAGGCCGTCCTATGAGCTGTGCTATGCAGGAGGTCAGACTACGTGATGGTATTGGTCCCCTCTAGCTTTGTCATCTCTAAATCGTATGTATTTGAATCAGTGCCATATTATCCTGCCATTCCAGAGCAACCCTACAATAACAAACCAGCATGTGCTGCCCATCCCACAGGAGACATCCTCTACTAAACCCCCTCACTTTTTTGCAGGGCAGGTCCTGCGGCTGCAATGTGTGCACTGCCGATTCCCTCTAACAACGAACCCGTGTGCAAGCATCGCATGGAAGAGAACAAAAGTTGTGGGAAGGAAACAGGTTTCAGTTGCAGTCTTTCAGGTTTCAGAGTAGCAGCCGTGGTAGTCTGTATCTGCAAAAAGAAAAGGAGGACTTGTGGCACCTTAGACACTAATAAATTTATTTGAGCATTAGCTTTCGTGAGTTACAGCTCACTTCATCAGATGCTTCTTACAGTCAGTAAAGGGACTGTTCTCCTTAAAGGATATTGCTAATGGACGAATACAAAACCTACCCTGTTTTTTTGTGTAGGTCCTGCAAATAAATATAGCCACGCTCACAGGGACGCTTCCGACTGCAGCCAATGAATGGCTAATAAAGTGAACCTGTTGGAGCCTGCACTGAATGGGATGTGTCAAAGCAGCCCCTGCCATGGGATGGCTTCGTGTACATCATTTGGAGACCCCACAGTTTGTAGGACTACATAGCGGCCCCTTTCCCCCACTCCGGCTTGCTCCACTCCCAGTAACAGGAGAGGCTGCACAGGGATTGGGAGCTGACGGGCTCTGTGCTTTGGGAAGCTTTATGCAACTGGCAGTTATTTATAGAAACCTGAGAGCAGGGTGAGGGCCTGGGCAGAAATGCAGAGCAGGTGGGTGGCCCTCGGAAAGCGAATACCATGGTGTACTCTAGCATTACTACTGCATGGGGCTGTGGGCCCTTGCTGTAAGTGGCAAGAGGGGGAAAGGTTTCTCCTCTTGAGTCCTCGCTGGGGGCAACTACACCTCTCAGTCCCCTCCTCCCGACCCTGGCCCTTTACCCTGCTTGTGAAAGGAGCTCAGCATTTCCCCCTTGGCTGCAGTGACTGAGTGCAGCTGGCGAGGGCAGCTCTGATCTATTGCAGGCTTCCCCTGCTGCTCAGCTGAGCCAACCGGCCACTCCTGCCTCTAGGCAGGACCCCTGAGACATTCCTAGGTGAAAGCAGGATGTTTCTTGTCTGCTTTTCATTTCCCCCCGGGTGCAACAGCTGTCAGCAACTCTGGGGCTGGGGACTCGCAGGGGGGCTGATTAGCATTCAGACACAGAGAGAGGTGTAAATCAGCAGCTGGTGTCAGATTAAAGCCCCGTTGTGTTTGCACTATTCGGACCCAATGGTGTTTTTCTGCACCTCTAGGAGATGCTCCTTTCCAGTCGCAGCGCACCCATGGTGGGACGTTTAAGAGGCATGTGTTGTGGCACCCTCTTCTGGGGCATGGGAAAGGACCATGTTTAGACGATTAAATCACAGCAGACTCATGCCAACCTGCCATCATAAGCAGCCCACGAACAGCCACTAGCTGAGGAGTGAGGCGAGGGTCAAGTACGGCAACAAACAAGGGGTCTTGGGCCAGTCGAGCCACTCCTTTAGTTCACCTGGACTCTGTGTACCAAGGTGCAAATACCATCAGGGCAGCCGCCCCATGCCCTTGGCCCACGGGACTTCCATGCCCACATTCACTGGCCAGAGAGGGCCGGGGAAAGATGGATAGAGCGTGTTCTGGCTTATGTTGTGTTCAGCTCACTGGGCAGGTGCAACACAGGCCCCGGCCCTGGGGTGACATTTGCAATGGTGAGTCCAGGGCAGTCCTGGCTGCAGCCGCCCCATCGGCAGCCATCCACAGCTGCAATACTAGGCTCCGTTCACATTGCAGCCTGCGGGAGGGTCAGAGGGTGGCATGTTCTAAGCAGAGGCTCAGGAATTCCCAAATTCTAGCCTCAGCTCCTCCAAAACAAGGCAACCTTCTCCACCTTGCCGAGCATTGGGGGACTTGCTTCCCTGCCTCAGTTTCCCCCCTTAGCAAAACCTAGCTGGAAATAGCTCGCCTACCTGAAGCCAGGTGAAGGGGGAGAAGAGCAATAAGTGGCTGAGGGGCAGAATCCAGTAATCAAGAAAACCTTTTTATTTTACACATTGGCTTGTATTGCTTGTTCCCCCCGTGTAGTGCAAAATCGAGAAAAAAACAAACAGTAAATGCCTCATAAATAAATCATAACTGACATAAATAAAAATGACATTTGGACAGGGGGGTGAATCAGTGGCCTCTCAGCTAGGCCAAGCGTATCCCTCCGCCAGGCTGGGACTAGAGAATCACCTTCCCCACCCGCCCTTGGGGCAGGCTCCAGGGGGGCAGCAGGAGACGCTCCCTGGGTGACGCACGGCAGCCCAGCCCTGTGCCCCCCCAGAAGGCAGGCTGCTGCTCAGCAATGCTGCCCTGTTGGGAATACCTCCCCGGGGCCGTTGTCTTAGTAACAATGCTGTGTGTTAGTCCGAGACCACAACGTAAAACGGGAGGAGAAACAAACAGTTAACAGCGCCTCTGTCCACTCAAGTCTCTCTCTCTCTCTCTCTCTCACACACACACACTTCCAGCCATGGATTGTCACTCCTTGGGCCGGTGGCAGGCACCCTCCACCAGCGCCGCCCAGCGGTGGCCCCCGGCAGGCTGCTTTTTCAACGGAGGCCTCGGCTTTTTCCAAAGGCTCCACTGGGTCTGAACTGCATCACCACTGGGGTGGAGCGACTGCACCCTCCACACCTGATGCGCTGCTCCCTGCCCCGCCCGCCTATCCTCTCAGCTCCAAGCCCCCTTGATTCAGATGAGGACAGTACTTAGCAGCAGCGTCCCCCACACGCCGCAGTATTGCTAACACCAGCTGAAGGGGTGGGGCCATTGCTCTCAAACTGGCAGCTATTGTTTTAACCATGGTCCACTTCCCTCCCTCAGCAATGCCTTCCTGGCCCCTCCACTTCCCTTCCTCGGGCGCGAGCTGGTTCCCTCCCTTGGTGCGGGAGGAAGAGACTGGCCTATGGTGCCCTCATTCCCTTTGCCCTACTCATGGGCCACAGCAGAAACCCCAGGACTTCTGCCAAGTCATAGCAGCTGGCAGCTCTGAAATGCCCATGGAGCTCTAGGCTTGGCTCTTGGGCTCCCTTCCTAGGATTCTCTTCTGCCTCCTTGGAAGAGGATCCTGGTGTCAGAGGGGTCTTGAGCGTGCAGGTTGACATGAGCTAGCTTGAAACCGGGAATCCTGCTGCGGCTGACAGGTACAGCTAGAAGGGAGCAAAAGGTGGAATGCACACACACACGACTGCACCCCTACTTTGAGTGAGATGGCGTCTTGTGACCTAGTTAACCCAACACAGGGGCCACGAAATAGGTGGATGCTCTTGCCGTGCTAACAGGGAGCTCATTTCAATCACAGGATCGGGGGCGTTGGGACGTCAAAAGGGCGTCGTCAGCAGCACACAGGAATGTGACTGCCGTTGAACGGTGGCTGGTTCCTTCAGGGACTTGGCAAGGAGAAAGGAATGAAAAGATTGAGAGATTTTAAATCTATTTTAAAAGCCTAAAAATCTACTTCGGCCTGAAAAGCCCAGAACATGTCTTTGGGTAGAGGGCGGGGAGGGCAGCTAGTGATTTTGGGTGCCCAACTTCAGGCTCTGGAGCTGGGCCTGTTTAACGTGCAAAGCATCTGTCTTGGGGAAAAAGCTGGCCCTTTCTAAAGCGTCTCAACGTGGGCACCAAAAAATCTCCGGTCACTTCCGGAGATACAAGTCAGCGAGTATTTTCACAAGTGAAATCTAAAGGATGATGAAGTCGGGAGGAGAGAGAATCAGGGGGCGAAACAAACAAACAGTCAGTCACAGAACAGCCTCCCAGTGCTATTGAGGTATCCATGCTTTAGCCGTTCCTATACACCATGGGGAACACCTGTTATCCTGTCTTCATGCAAACCACACACAGAGCACGGCATATGTAGTGGAACACATCCTAAGCCACCGCCCACGAAGTTCTATGGTACAGGTGGGTCTATACGGCCAACCCTGTGCATTACAGTACAAGATGATTCAACCATTAGAGGGGTAGTTTAAGACAGGGAGTTGCTAGCTGCAAATGGTTCCTTCTGTGCTGGTTTCATGGTACATATGGCCTCTCTCACACACTTACTTCTAGGCCATAGTCATTGTCCAAGAGATCATTTAAAAAAACGTCGCTTGCTCGTTCCTCTCCTCCCTTCCCATGTCGGCGGGAGGGGGGTGGGGAACACCAGAATAATTTAAAAAATAATAAAGTCAATAAGAATTAAAATGAAAAGATTAGTACAATAAATACAAATGGGAGACACATTAAATAAATAACATGGTGCGACCCTGCAGCCTGCACCACCTGCCGGGTCGTACCGTTCTAGGGAACCAAGGGCCTGGCCCAAGCCTAGATCCTTCTTTGTGGACAGGGAAGCCGTGTGTAGGCTGGATTGTTCCCAGCCGCCGGGTTAACACAGTGACACAGACACGTGAGCAGGGGGCAGCAGCGCAGCCATTGGTAACAGTGGGACGGCCACTGCACCCGAGCCGGTGAGCTCATTAAATCCATCTGGTCGGTGGGGGGACCTCCGTAGCGATGGCAAATCAGGACGGACAGCGAGCGGGACGGGGTCAGCAGAGGATGGAAATGCCGGAGGGCTCGGGAGGCTCCGCACAGTTTTGTGGCCTTCTCCCCGCCGCATCCCCCGGCTGCGGTTTTTAAGGCATCGATCAGACACCCGTGCGAGCCGTACGCCGGTCTCGGAGGCTTTACCAGCACGCTGGAGGCTCAGGACCGAGAGTTTGGCTAAGGTAGCGTTCCGAGGAGCGGTGGTACGTTCAGCGGTTTCCTGGAGAAGCACCATATGCGTCAGTCACCCACCCCCGGTGCTCCCGTCCGCCTGGATCCTTCCTCGCGTGGCTGTCCAGTGTGCAGCACGTCGGGGCACGGTAAACCCTAAAAGCAGCAATGGTTTCGACTGGGCCTGGCCGGCCGCAAAAGTCAGTTGAGTTGTGGGCAGGTTTGTGGATGGAGCCGAGAGCTGCCCCCGCCGTATGTGCCAGCAGAGGGGACTCTTGAATGGAAAGTGCCCCTTTCCATTCACCCCTCAGCACGCTGAACTGCAGGGTGCCCCGAGAGAGGCAGAGCCCCCCAGGGGCCTGCGGAATTGCTGTGGGCCAGGGCTGGAGGCAGCAGCCGGAACCCTCCCACTCCGGTCTACAGAGACTGGCTGCTACAGGGGTCAGGCCAGGGTGGCCTGGCGCTCCTCCGCATGCGGCTGCCCCCTGGAGGTAAGGTGCAACTGGATTCTTTGTCAAAGGCTCGTCGAGGACACGGAGAGGGTGGGCGAGGAGGGGGGCGGGAAGTTGAGCAGTTCCAGCACCGCAACCCCCACGCTGCTCCGCCGCGTGAACATGCACGAGGCCGCCACCCACTTGTTGGTGCGGGGGTTGTACTTCTCGATGGAGTTTAGGCTGGAGCTCCCGTCGTTCCCGCCCACCGCGTACAGCCACCCGTCCATGGCCACCAGGTCGTGGGTGCTCCTGCAAGCGACAGCACAGAGGACGGTGTTAGCGAGCCAGGCTTTGGATGTCCCCCGGCAGATCCCCAGCCGGGGTTGAGGGGGTTCGGACCTCCGGAAGGCAGGCGGGAGTTGGGCACCCGAAAAGGGACGCATCAAAATTAGCAGAGCCTTTTGGCTTCAGTGATTTGCCCAGGGTCACGGAGGGAGTCAGTGGGGGAGCCGGAAATAGAACCCAGGAGTCCTGGTTCCCAGCCCCTGGTTCTAACCACATTTTGGTCCATATTTTAGGCTCCTAAATTACGTTATTTGAAGGTGATCCCTCTGCCAGCTACAGGAAGTCCCAAACACCTATGTTTAGAATGTCGAGATACTCCCCCAGTGACTGTGTCATGTGCTTCCTGTAGTCGGGATTGGGTAGCGGTAACTCGGGAATCATTTATGCCCACGTAGGATTGTTAGGGCGGCAAAGCCTCTGCAGGCTGCCCCTGCTTGCTCATGCCTACGTGGTGCATGCAACGGGCACTGCTGATCGCGCAGCGTTGACAGGTGAACACGCAGCATGGAGGTCCCAGACCTCCCAGCAGAGAGCTTCCCGGCGGTCGTGACTGCAGGCCAGCCTGCTCGGTCGGTCAAGCGAGGCCTGGTCATTGCTGCACCTTGATGGCTGCAGCATGATGTGCTCCAGTGGGAGATGGCTCTCTCCAACCCAAGAAATCCCCAAGGCCACCAGTCTCCCCAGCTCCCCAGTTTGGATGGGTGCTGGAGAACGGGGGGGGGGGGGTGGGGCTGGGGGTCCCTACCTCCGAATGTTCATGGGGGCCACGCTCTCCCAGGTGTTGGTTTTCGGGTTGTAGCGCTCCACAGAGTTCAGGCAGCTGGTCCCGTCGTTGCCGCCGGCCACGTAGAGCATCCCTTCCAGCACGGCCACACCGGCGCTGCTTCTCCGGCTCAGCATGTTGGCAATGGGGGTCCAGGTGTTGACCTTGGAGGAAAGGGGACCAAGCGCCCATGAAAGCACCTCTGGGTTAGCGAGCGATACCCGGTGGGTGATTATCCTCCCACCCAAGCCCTTCAATGGCGACACCACTGTCCGGTCACACTCCAGACCCTGTTTCAGGGTAGCAGCCGTGTTAGTCTGTATCCACAAAAAGAACAGGAGGGCTTGTGGCACCTTAGAGACTAACCAATTTATTTGAGCATGAGCTTTCATGGGCTACAGCCCACTTCATCGGATGCATGCTCTCTGTGCTCTGCTCCCCGTTCCCAACTCTTAAAACAACAGCTCCCCCGGGAGGAAGGACCCCTGTAGGACCCACCATCCACATTCCAGCAGGGGGCAACAAAGAGTCTGCAGCTAAAGCAAGTTACGATGACCCCGGCTGCAAATCTGACCTTGGGTGCAGCAGGTTAAAGTAGAGTCGCCAGCCATCCTGCCTGCTGTTATCAGATGAAGGGCAGAGGTGATGGGGGAGGTTTCCAGAGCCCTGTGGAACAGGCTTTTGAGGGAACACAAAGGCCCCCCAAGGAGATGGCGGGAGGGGAGTTCTACTGGAAATGGTTTTCTGTACTGCCCCGTTCCACCCCAATGCAGCTAGATCCAGCAATTATACTTTGTTCACAAACACTAATACAAATGTCTCTCTCCGCCCCCTCTGGCCCCCCATAAGGAGCTTACAAACATGATCCGCCCAAGTCTGTGCTCAGTGTTTACAGGCACCCTCCTTCCCTAAAGCATCAAACACAAAACTGCCTTAAATCAAGAAAAAAATAAAATGTTTAAACCCCAGAGAGGTTTCAGAGTAGCAGCCGTGTTAGTCTGTATTCGCAAAAAGAAAAGGAGGACTAGTGGCAGCTTAGAGACTAACCAATTTATTTGAGCATAAGCTTTCGATGCATAATGCATCCGATAAAGTGAGCTATAGCTCACGAAAGCTTATGCTCAAATAAATTGGTTAGTCTCTAAGGTGCCACAAGTCCTCCTGTTCTTTTTGCAAACCCCAGAGAATTATTTTAAAGAGACCTCTGCTGGCAGGTTCAAGCAACTGCAGCTGTTAACAATAGGACCCTGGTCTCCAGGTCCCTAAAATTTGGCTTAACTATTGGGAGCTCGAGCTGCCCATCAGCTCCCGGCCAGAGCTCCAAAGTGGCCATGCATGTGGCCGTGTCTATTTCTACGGCTCTGTCAGGGAGTCCCGTCAGGGAGTCCCAGCGGCAGCCCCACAGTTAGAGGCTCCGTTCAGAACATGGTTTCTGACCCCCTTTCTCCTGAGCCAAGCCTCTGTAGGGGAGCCAACCACACCTGTGGGCCCACAACGGTCCGCTGGAGCTTGTCAGCTTGCAATAATGGCCGCACACAAGGTGGCAACACAGCTGCACGTGCTGGGAAAGGGGAGGGATCCGTGCGACCCCCACCGCAGGTGGAAGGGATCGAGAGAATTGAACAGAGACCCCTCATATTTCCAGAGACTTGTTAACCGACCTACAGAATTCCATAGCAGGGCGATAGCTAGCTAGGATGGTTTAACCCCCCCCCCCCCCCCGCCCCCTGAGAGGATCTCGTGCTCCGTTAGGTTCTGTAGCATTTTAGAATAATTTCTGTAGCCCCCTGTTGTGTTTTCCTCTGTTCGCTTTCTATAGGGCTTTGCCACAGGGTCCTTTTCGGAGGAGGGACAGGAAGGAAAGCGTTAATTGCACTCTCTTGCCCTTACCTGCGGCTCAAACTTCTCCACCGTGGCTAAGTGGGACGAGCTATCGTATCCCCCGACGGCGTAGAGATTGCCATCTGCAAAACACAGTCATGCACAGAGTCAGCCACAGAGCCCTCCACAAGGGCCGTGTTATCGGCAGGGATGGATCCCGGCCTTATGTGCCACGGGTCTGGGCAGCCAGGAATGCAAAGGAACAGCATAGCAGCCGACAGGCAAATCTACACCAAGCAGCAGGACCCTCCGGGGAGGATTTGCTCACAGAGCAGCTCATGCACCTTCCCCCCCCCCCCCAAGCCTCTGCTGTATGGGGGCCGCATCTGGCGCTGGGAATCATTAAATATTCATCAGGCCATTTCTCTGCTGTGCAGCGAGGGCTCCGTGCCGAGAGAGCAGCCCGGGGAGCTTGCTCGCCTGCGGCTGCCCCCGACCAGCTCATTACGGGCCGTGCGAGCGCTCCCCGCCGCCACAATTAAGCTTTATTTTTAGCCAGCGACGGCAGGAGCAGCAGGTTGCCGCGGGGGCCGATCCATAACGCAGCGCCAGGCAGGGAGCACACCACGGGGGGAAAAGGAGCGAGAGCGTGCGAAGGAACCACAGAGTCAGCACGGAGCAGCGAAATTGGAAGCGAAAGAGCAGAGACGAGAGGGGATTAATGTCCGTGCAGCACAGAACCCAGAGCAGCGAGGAGCTGCTCCTGCAGCGGGTGCCATTGGCAGCAGTGACGCGCACCATGGTGAATGCGCTGGGCCAGTTAGAGACTGATTTATGCACTCAGCTAGCCCTGTACGGCGGTGCTCTGTTTATCCACAGAATAACCCGTAGCTGTTACCTAGATCGTCCCTAGCTCTCAAAGCGCTTTACAAAGGAGGACAGTATGGGATTATCCTAATTTCACAGATGGGGAAACTGAGGCACAGAGTGGCAAAGTGACTTGCCCAAGGTCACCCAGCAGGCCAGTGACAGAGCCAGGAATAATACCCTGGTCTCCCAAGCTCAGGCCAATGCTCCATCCCCTAGGCTAGTGGTTCTAGAAATTATTTGACGTGCTCCCCTTCTTTGTGTCTGTAGTAGTTTATGCTCTTCCTCCCTGCCACACAGGTACATATATCCTGACATATGCAGCATCGGTGCTTCACTTGAATCAGTTTCAGCATCTTTGTTTTTCATTTGAGGTTTATTTTTTCTGTTGCACAAACGAGCCAACGAGCCATTGTAAGGAGAGCAAGCGCAGAACTGCCATTGTGGTCCCGTGCGTACGATTAAGTGTGTAACGGACGGATGAATGTATAGATGACAATGCCTTTGTGGAATACTAGGCAAGCTTCACAGAAATACGTCAAAATGCACAGCGCCAGCTGAGGACGTGACATGTCTGGAGGAATTAGCGTTGCTAGTTATTCCGTGCTGGGGGGTAAAATGTGGGCAGGAAGTTTCTTTTTCCTAAAATTTCTCCTCCTCCTCCCCCAATACGTTCTGCGCCCCCCAGTTTGAGAAGCTCTGTTCTAGGCCAGTGTTTCTCAACCACCAGTCTGCAGACCAGCGCCGGTCCCTGAGATCTCCCTGACAGTTTAGGAAGGCAGCAAGCTGGTCTCTGGTATCAAAAAGGTTGAGAAACTGCTTTAGGCCACACTGCCTCCCCTCTGCCAGCTTCCCCTACGGAGGGCTCCCCTCAGGAAGCGAGGGGAACCGGCCTATTCAGCCCTTGGGTTCTCCAATAGATTGTGGCACAGGCGGAGAAGCCCCAGCTGTGGTGCGGTGACAGGGACCCTGTAGCTCTCTGAACTGGGCTGTGACCACACCTCATTCCACACGGGTCACTGGCCAGCTGCCGGACTTCCCAGGCAAGATTGCTCTGGCCTGGAGGTGAAGCAAGGGGGAATGGGGTCCAGAGTGAAAGTGAAGAGACTGCGCTGCATCTGTGATGGGTTCTCTGGGTGACCCTGGGAAGTATTTCCCCCCCGCCCCTCGGTGCCTCAGTTTCCTCATCCATCAAATAGCGATTGTGATGCTTGTCTGCTTTTGCAAAGGGCCCAAATCTACGCTAGGCATGTGCAAAACATTAGTACTTTTGGGCTTGTGGGGAAAGGAGAAGTGTCCCATTACAAGGATCAGCGTGCGCACAGGGAGACATTTCAACATAAAGGTACATATGAGATCAGACCACTGTTGTTATGTTAAAAGCCGGCTGCATCCGGATGAGGGTTATTATGAAATTTCTTTAGCTCTACGCTGCACCCATGGGGTCATCAAGCTGCTGCGAATTTTGCTGCTCTAGGAAAATCAGCTTTTTCCTAGGCTGGAGGGAGTGTTTTTGACAAAAACCTTCCAAACACAGACAGTAACTGGTCTCTGCACGAAATGTTATTTTAAAGAGAACAATGCTAACCGCATTCAGTTGGGCCATCTGGTTTGGGCTGTGCCATTTCACAGTTCTTCCTACCCCACCCCAGCTCTCATCATAGGTTGACACGAAGGCACGGCCCATGGACTCCAATGTTCCCAATATCCCACCTTGAGCCCAGAACCCCTAGGTGGATGCAGAGAGATAGCAAGCTTTCCTCCGCTTTGATCCAAGTCAGGCCAAGATCTGGAGCCTGTTACCATTATTAGAGTACCATGGACCAAGAAAACTATGGTAGTCCAATACACGCAGGAAGAGACAGTCCCTGCCCCAGATCATCTGGAGTGTTTAGCCTATAAGTCAATTAAATGACTTGTCCTCGGTCGCACAGGGGGTCCCTGGCAGAGCTGGGAACTGACCCCCTTTCTCCCCAGTCCCGCTGCAGGGCATTAACTCCACCCTCCTTCCTGTGCATGGAGCAGAGCTGCAAACCTGCTCCATTCTGTGCCCGGTAGGCAGTGCCCTTTGGCTCCTGGCACGTGGGCAGCGCAGGTCCCACATCAGCAAAGCGCGGTGGCCTGTCACAGACAGCAGTCAGAGAGTGGGGCTGCAGCTGATAGGAAGCAACGTGCAGGACTAGCCAGAGGAAGGGGCGAGAGGTGACAGAGCCTGGGAGCGCCAAGCAGATTCCACCACGCTAGTGCCTACCTAATGTCGCCACCCGGACGTATCGCCTCCTGGTGCTCATGGCGGCGATCGAGGTCCAGGTGCCCGTCAGGGGGTCGTACCTCTCAGCGCTGCAGCAGGCAGAGACACAGGAACATTAGCAACACTGGAGGGTCTCTGGGAAAACCCGCTGATGCAGCCCTGAGGGGCAACGGAGGACACCAAGGGGTGCGGAAGTGAGGCAAAGTGCTGCCACGGATCAGAAACTGGCTCAGGGATAGGAGCCAGAGGGCAGAAACAAAGGGCCGTTTCCCCACCATGTCACAGGGTTAAGATCAGGGTCCTCCGAGGGGCAGGGCCAGAACCAGCGGGGTTCACATCTTCACCAGGGACGGAGAGAAGGGGGGCCGTATTTGCAGCAGACACACGACGTACTTGTCCAGACTGGATGAGGCTGCACAGAACTTCAGAAGGACCCAGGGGTGCCAGGTGAATGGGCCGATGGAGTTCACTGGCCAAAGGGCAGGTTGGTCTTTCCTGGAGGGCCAGGGAACTAGGATGGGGTCAGGGTTAGAGACACCCACGCAGAACCCCGCTGTGAACGGAGAGGGGATCCCACCCTGGTAGCCCCACAAGCCTTGGGTCCCTTTGGCTGCCGATGAGTCATCAGGCCTCAGGGAGGGCTAGATCTTGGGGACAGCAGATCTTGGGGACAGCTGGGGTGTCTCAGCAGCCCGGGGGGCACGGACACCACACCGAGGGGACGAGCACATACCCAGGAGATCCCCCTACCTGTTCAGACATGAGGCCCCGTCATATCCCCCAGCTGCATAGAGGAGCCCGTGAAGCACCGCCACCCCCAGACAACTGCGCCTGGTGCCCATGGACACCTCCGGCTGCCAGGAGTTGGTAACCGGGTCGTACGACTCCACTGTGGCCAGGTCGGAGGTCCCGTCGTAACTGCGGGGGGATGGGAGAGCGTTGGAAGGCTGGGGAACCTTCAGGGCAGAGCTGAGAGCCTGGACTCCACCGAAGCCCTTGGGCTGAGCACAGCTTAGCCTCAGGTCGCTGCCCAGCCCAGACGCGGGCCGCACTCTCCTCCCTATCCCAGCTCTTGCCAGCAATCAGGCCCGTGCAGAGCGTCAGCCAGTTGCTGCATTTCTGGCGGGTTCGCTCCCCGCGTTCCAAACCCGCTCCGCCAGCCTGCCCTTCTCACCCCCAGCAGGGATGATGCAGCCCCCGGGGGGCTCCCAGTCACCTGACCGAGTCTGTGTGAATTCACGGGACAGGCTGAGAGGGCCGGGGTCCTGGGTCGCAGCTGAGCCAGGCAGTTACTGTGCATTGAACATGTCCCTGCAGGAGCTGGGCACAGCCAACCTGCTGCATGACATTAGCAGGGCAAGCTTCCCTCACCAGCTGCCTCAGTCCTAACTGAGCAGCGGGAGAAATGCAACCGCAGGCGAGAACAGCCTCCGTCCCCTCCTCTGGCGCCGTGAACAAATGGTGTCAGTTAGTGGCCAGGCTGCTGCTGCACAGAGACCCAGCAAACTCACTCCACTGAGCAGCTGGGGGCAGTGGAATGGCTTCCAGTCTCTGCTCCTCTGGGCTGGGTTTGAACCAGCGACGTTTCCCGTTACCACTTCCCTGGGCCAGCCAGAGCCCCGGCACACAGCTGGTGGCAGAAATGCCCCCTGGGCCCAGCCTTTGTTCTCCGACCCGAATCCAGAGGGGTCCCACCCCAGAGCCAGCATTCCCCTCTCGGTCCAGCTCAGTGTCCTGCTCCCCACCTTACCCGCCCACAGCATACAGCTTGTTTCCGATGGCAGCGACGCCCACCCTGGCCCTCCGGGTCGACATGGAGGCCACCATGTGCCACCGATCCGTCCGCGTGTCGTAGGCTTCGCAGTCTCCGTGGATGGCGAATAAGCTCCCCCCACCTGCAGAGGGGAGTCACAAGCAGAGCGAGTGAAGGGCAGGACCCCTGAGGTTTCCAGGGAGTCATTGGGCAGGGGGAGCCATTGACATACCCCTCCCTGACCCCCAGCTCTGCCCAACATCCCAGTGACAGGCCCTGCCTGCAGCCCCTTCCCCGAGAGTGGGACAGATGCCACATGGGAGGCAGGTGATGGGCCCCTCCCCCAGGCTGCACACAGGCACCGTATTCAGCCCCCTTGGCCTGGCTGTCCCTTACCCACGGCGAAGAGCACAGTGCTGGCCCCCTCGCACCGCCGGGGCCGGGTCCTGCTGTTGCCGAGGACCCCTCTCTGCTCCGGCATGAGGTGGTACTTGAGGGCCTCGATCAGCAGGTCCTTGCACTCCGAGTGGTGCCGGACCAGGAGCTCCGTGTCCACGTTGCTCATCAGGAAGTCCCGGCTCAGCAGGGGCAGCCGGACGCACTTCATGAGCTGCGGGGTGGAGGGAGGGGAGGGAAAGAGCTGAGTCGGTGGAACAGAGACGGGTTGGGGTGAAGATTAGAGTGGGCTCCTCTCTTAACAACCCCAAGAGCCTCGGGATCCTGACAGGACTGGATCTCCCTCATCTTCCTCCCAGTGGAAGGGAGGGCAGCCACCCCCCGGCGTACGCCTGGCAGCAACTCCACCCTCATCTCCTCCACAGAGCCCAGGACCCTCCCACTGCCCTGGCAAGAGCCTGAGACCCACTGCTACTCCCAAATCCCAGGCTGGCCCTGCACTGGCTCCCACAGCCTGGTCCACGTGCCAGCACGGCTACCTCAGTGACGGATCAGCTTGGTTCTCCCCTTGCCTTAGCCACGGCCTGCTCTGCTGGGCGCCGGTGCCCGGACAGTGCCCTGCTCATAGCCAGCTGTGCCCTCTACCCACCTCTTGCTCCCAGCCACACGCTTGGGATTGCTAGAGAGGCTCCAGATGCAGGAGACTCAAGTGCACGCAGCTGAATGCGGACTGCAGAGTGCAGCCAGGGCCTTAGTCTGGTAAAACGGCTGAGTCCCTTCACAAACTGGAAAGCCCTTCCTACGCCACGGCCTGCTGGGCTGGCGAGCTCTGGCTCCCTCGCCTGCAGCAGGGCTATTAAAAAAGTTGCCATGACAGGACTGAGCAGCAGCTCAAATGCCATACAGACAACACCTGTGCCTGACAACCGCAGGGACCTCTGTGCAACCCACCCAACCAGCCCCCACAGCGCCAATGCCAGCCCTACGTCAAGTGCATCTTGGGATGCATATACTCCTATTTGCATATCATTTCCCAGCATTCTCTGCAGGCTCGCAGCTAGTTTCTTAGCAGGCCTGGTAGCAAAGCTGCCAGAACAAAGGGAAAGGTTTCCAGGGTACACACGGATGCATTTTTCTCTGGGTTTATTAATGGGTGCCAATATTCATACTTGCGATGCCACAGGTATCCGCAAGAGGGCATGCGAGACTCATGCAGAGTTTGTGGCTCCAACCTAGGGCTATGCTGGGAAAGACCGTCGGGGGGGCGAGCCCTCTGGCCTGTCGGGAAAGGTTTTGTTATTCCTGTTACTGTTTTGCTTAAGCAGGCGACAGGCCTGTGGTTAATTTGCTCCTTGTCACAGACACAGAGATCTGAGCACTAGATAAAGGAAAATCCGGCCTAAAAACGTTGCAGATTTGCCAAGTTTGGCTTTTCAGAGCAATCCTCAAAACCCAGCCCTAGAGACCAAAGTTTACCTGACGGACCCGTCACCCACCCAACAGCACTGCTGCCCCACTGAAGCCCTGGCTCTGCCATGGATGCCTCATGTGACTGTGGGCACGTCGCTGCCCCTCTGCGCCTCATTCCCTAAAATGGGGTCGCAGCACCGGCCCCATCACAGGGTAGGGGATTTTGTGGGGCCATATTTGGGGGTTTTAGAGATCCTCTGATGTGAGATAGGAACTAAAGAAATCCCAAGTATGATCACTTTTCTCTGCACATGGAGGAAGATATTCTAATGGACAGGGCCCAGGACAGGGAGTAAGGAGACCTGGGTTCTAATCCAGGTTCTGCTGCAGATTCCCAGTGTAACCTCAGGCAGCCACTCAGCCTACCCACTTCAGCTCCCCCTCTGTAAAATGGGGATAACATGTCCCAACCTCACAAGGGTGTCGGGAGGATGCAATGTGACTGTGAGGTGCTAGGACATGGACATTCATCAGATTCAAACCCCTGCCTTCTAGCCCTGCATAAGGCAGCATGAGCCTCTGTTTGCAGTGGGGTACAATACATGCCCTAAATCAACCCAGTACATCGGAAGGAGCCAGATGCAACAGCCTTGGGCATCCAACCTCCTCTTTCAGTAAAGCTCCTGTCAGACCAGACCTGAGATAGCCAATGGCAGCAAGGGCTTCCAGATTGCACCATGCTGGAAAACTAACTCGTCTCGGTTATACCAGTCAAATGCCACTGGGGGACAGAGCAGAATTTGGCCTTGAGATGGTTGGACTTTCCCCACTTGAGCCAACTTTTCTTTGGTTCCCCCCAACCCTGTCTGGTCACACAGCCTGCAGTTCCCAAGGGGAGAGGGAAATAGGAATATGCAAAAGGAGGGTCTCCAGGAGCCTTTAGACCAGGCCAAACCCACCTCCATCCAGCACCTACGTTCTTAGAGTGGGTGAAAATCCCCTCCCCTGCGATGATCTGTGTTCCCAGCCAGCTCGCCTACCCTGGGGACATGCTGCCTCCTGCTGTCCACGTCGTGTTTGACCCAGCTCAGCACAGCCCGGTACACCTCTTCCTCAGATGGCACGTTGAGGCTGTCGCTAGAGATGAGGTCCAGCACCTGCAGAGGCGAAAGGGAAGTCCAGCTCAGCTGTCCCCCGTCATGGGGAGGGAGGATGGCAAGGAACATGGACGTGTGCACACACACACACACACAACCAGCAGAGCTGCACACTCGGCGCCTTACCACACCTCCATAGCGTGCGGGTAGAGCAAGGCTGGTGTGCGCATATGGGAACGGAGACGCGGCGAGAGCAGAGAGTCAGGACTCCTGGGTTCTGTTCTTGGCTCTGCCTCTGACCTGCTGGGTGACCTTGGCCAAGCCTGTGCCTCAGTTTTCACGTCTGTAAAGTGGGGAGAACAAGGCCAACCCGCCTCCCAGCTGAACCCTCCCACCGATTGGTTAGGGCTTGCCTGTGCACCGATGGCGGGAGGGGCAATGGAAGCCTGGAGTGTCAGTGTAGGCACCATGGCAAGTGACAGGGCCTGATTCCCTGCTCCCCTACGCTGGTTCCCCAGTGGCCACGCTGCTTTATTCTCGGCCAGTATTTCCACAGAGCGGGCAGGCGCTGGCTGCTCTGGAGGCGCCCGGGGGCAGACGGCAGCCTTAATCCTTCTTGCTTTATGTCCCACTTTCCTCCGCTCTTGGGCCACGCTCTCTTCCTGGCAGCGGCAGAGTCCTGCGAGAGAGGGGGCCTGGGCCCAGCCCCTGGGGGTCCCCGCCCTGCTCTCTGAGCCTGCTCCCGGCTCCCGGGATTCTTGGAGACACACGTCATGTCTCCCCCGCCCCGTGGAGAACAGCGCTGAGCCGCGCTTAGGGCCCAATCCGCCGACTCTCGCTGACCTCTGGGGGCGTTGGAGGAACTCGGGCAGTGCTGGGTGGCTAGGCCGAGGCCTGGATGGAGTAGCACAAACCAGCCCCCATCGCTTCCCTCCCTGCCTATAACTACTTCCTCCCTCCTCACCCACACCCCGGCCATCTCCTGCCAGCACGGCAGCCCCTCCCTCCCCCCAGCACCTCGCTGACTCTGTTCCATGGCTAGCCGCTCTGTGTGGGCTAGGGGCTGAGACAGAGAGTGTGCGTGGGGGGGGGAGGAGGGGTGCGGAGAGGCATGAACTAGCCCCCAGGTCCTACCGAGAGGGGATGAAGACACCACGGCGAAGCAGAGGTGACCGGCCAGAGCCAGTGGGCATGGTGTGACATCCCCGCTTGCATCACGCAGCGCTCTGCACCCCGAGGAGAAAGTCAGTGGGAGCAACGCCACAGTGCGGAGAAAAGACGCGAGGCCTCGGGAGGGGTCTCACCTGCTTCAGCGGCAGCAACATGAACTCCTCCGTCTTGGACACCTCCACGAAGTGCTGGAGGACGTACTTGTGGGCGGACTTGAGCAGGTCGCTGCAGGAGTGCGTGTCGGCGAAGCCCCGGATGCCCAGGCAGTTGGATGGGTCCAGCTGGCTCAGCAGGAACTTGCAGCAGGCGTCCCGCACGCCGTTGAGCTGGAGGAGGCTGGCGGCTGGAAGCAGCGTCTGCGGGCAGACAGGGAAGCGGCTGGGGCTGCAGCCCACCGCTTCCACCACTGCTGCCCGCAGAGACAGCCCCACCATCCCCTCTTCCTCAAGCAGGGGCCTAATGCTTTCCCCACAGAGACAGGGCCAGCGGTCAAGAGATACCCTGGCCTGGGAGAGCCCTGGGACACAGTTCCTAGGAGCCCAGCTAAGATCTAGGATCCAGAGTGCAGCCCGTGGGCCAAGCACATCCCACAGAAAGTCCCATTGAAAGTCTGCACTTGACCCACTCTCTCATAGCTTCCTCTGTGGCTTTGCGCCTTTATGGGGCTGGCTGACTTCCTCAGATACAGAATGCAGGAGAACCCTTCACCTCCCAGGCGATGAGAGGCAAAAGTGCCTACAGAAAGACTCCCATTAACCTCAATGGGCCTGAACAGGCCTTACAAGAGGCAGGGTGGAGTGGCAGCTCTCAAACAAAAGCCTGAACCACCCGCATCTCTGCAATGGGTTCTCCCATCCCACCCCCGGCAGGCTCTGGGTGTCACGAAAAACAGCTCGATCCTTTCCTTGCCAGCAGCTTAGTCAGTATAAAATGAATCAGCAGCCACAGAGCGGCTGCCGGCTATTTTAGAGGAGTGCCCCGAATTCTACTCTTTGTGCTGAGCTGGAGCGAGGTTGCAGGACTCACGCTCCATCCCTCGCAGACCCTCACGAAGATAGGGTAGAGGAGGGGTCACGTCAGGCCAGCGCAGAAAGCAGAATTTGGAAACAAGTGAGAACAACAACAACAGGTTCTGCGGCCAGCTGTCTCGTTCTTTCCCGAGAAGGCCCCTGGGCTGTGTGATTCAGTTACACGGAGCTGAAGACTCAGGGACATGGGATCAGGGACCGGAGGGGAAACAAGTGTCTGAAAGAAAAGGCAAAGCTGATGGAGATTCGGATTTTCTCCCCTGCCCTTCCCCCAAATCAGTACAAATTTAATATAAAGCTTTTGCAAGTTTTTCATTTCAAAAGACAAACAGGTTCTTTCCAGGCAAGAGAGGACTGCAAAGATGCTTGTGTTTTTGAATTGGGGGGAAGAAAAAAAAAAACAGTAATTTTGTTTGATTTCATGGAGTAGCAAAATTTAAGGGGTTGGAGCCCCCGCCCCCATTCCCCCCCGGATACACACACACAGGTAAAAGGCTGGTGCAAGATTTTGTAGGAAACTAACTTTTCATTTCTGCACACGTAGGCCAGGCTGCACCTAGGCTAGACGTCTCCACTAAGGTGCGACATCGTGTACTTTCCTCATGGTCAAGCTGCTGATCTGACCTGAGCTGCACTTCATGATTCTCGGTGCTCGGAGTGGCCGGAGCATCAGATCCAAAGCTGAGAACGACAACTGGCCTTCAGCCCAGTTGCTTTGTTATTTGGTTGCCCAGGGCTACAGGGTAATAGGATTTTTCCAGCCCTTGTAAAGAAACTCCACAAAAGCCCAACCCAGAGGGAGAAGCTGAAACAGGCTCGGTTCCAGACCAAGCAGCTGGAGAGAGACCAAAGGGCGGATGATGAGGACAAGCACCTGCAGTTCCCACTGAAGTCAGTGACAGTCGCAAGCATTCAGCGCCTCTCAGGATTCGGTCCAGTTGTGGCAGAGCCCATGGGGCAGCCGTTCCCAGCACGAGTGATGGGCCGAAGCCCTCGCAAGCACTTTGCCTCTGGGCTCAGTGAAAGGAGGAACTCCACTCCCATCCAAAACCACAATCAGGCGCAAGGCACTGTCTTGGTGCCAATGTTTGAAGGTCATGAATCAGGTCCCTAAGGATGGATCTTTAGTCCTCTCCGAAGGGCAGCAGGGCCGAGGGATAGGTTTTAGGGGGGAGGGGGAGACTCCTACCTGCACATTCCCTTCACCCACCACGATCTCCGCAGTGTAAGCATATTGCACCAGCTGATCCAGGGCCTGCGGGTCAATGTCGTGCAGCGTCACATGGGTCTGGCGGCTTTCACTCATCTCATCTGTGGGGACGCACGGAAAACTCCAATGAGGCCCAGCCAGGCAGGCACGCGGCCCAAGAGCACTCTCGGCCATGCATGGAACAAGTCAATGGTTCTGAACAGAACAACAGTTTCCCCTAGGTATATTACTGGGATCCCCAGCCATCGATTCTTGGGGCTTCTCCCCTGCACCTTTAACTGGGGATCCCCCACTGATTACTTAAGGATTCTCTGTGTCAGCTTTAACTGAAGACCCCTGCTCACCGATTCCTTGGGGCCTCTCCCTTGTCTTTAAACCAGAGGTTCCTCCACCCTAATTTCCTTCTCTCATAATTTCTTCCTGGCATCTCTCCCTTTCCGTTAACTGGACTCCTCTCTCCACCTTGCCTTTAAACTAGACATTGAGCTGAGGACAGGCTATAGTCAGCTCTGACATTCCCACTACCCGTACTCCTGTATCATCAAAAACTCAGAAGCCTGGAGCTTAGTTAAGACCACGTAAGGTCTAGATTAGACCCAAGCCCCGTTCCCCTCTCCCTCCCCGTTCACATCACTGGTCTGACAGCCAATTCCCCCTGGCATCAGCAAGAGGGGGCCAGGGCCCACAGCCTGCAGGAGATGCCTTTGGAAAGCCAAAAACTTCCAGCCTTCTTATCCATGGCGAGTTGGGGATGGAAGGCCTGGTGTGGGAACTGGGTTTGAATGGGGGAAGGAGGCTGCTGCAGGAGGGGGAGGTGGGTTGAGAGGTGGGGAGCGGTGTGGAGCAAGGCGGGTCAGAGAAAGTGCAGAAGGAAGGGGTTTGTGGTCTGGAGCTCTGCAGGCCCGAAGGGAAGGACAAAAGGGAATGGGGAGAACGTGGGCTCCTGGGAAGAGTCAGATACTTGCTTGTGAACATGGCGTGGAAGTAGGGGCTGCAGGAGGCCAGCACCACCTTGTGGGCCTTGATCTCCTTGGTGCCCACGTGCAGCACGATGTCGCACAGCAGGCCGCGCTGCCGCATGCGGTTCATGCAGACGAAGGCGTCATGGTAGTGCCGCTTGGAATTGTGGGAGATGCTGTGGCCGTCCCGGTTGAGGAGCTGCATACCCCCCTCCATGGCTGCAGGGCGACGGCGGGCACTCGGTTCTCAGCGGGGTCACTGCAGGGGAAAGCCAGGGAGGTCAGCGAAGGAGGAACGACTGAGGCTGAGCCACTTCCTCAAGGCTCCCGCCAAGCGATACACTCGTCTGCTTCCTAGCCGAGCAAGCCTGCTCAAAGTCCCCCTGGGAGGAGAGCTTCCCTCATACCAGGTCCCCTGCAATGGGCCCCACTGGGAGGAAAATGCCTTCCTGCCCCCAAACTTTGCAGTGAATTCTCATGAGCAAGGATCACCCTAGAGAAGCATCCGATGCCACAGAGGAACTGAGATGCCATGGGAGTGCCAAGAGTTGTGGACACTAGGGCCAAGACCCCATCCTGCAATGGTCCAGCTGAGGGCAGGACATAGCCCACTGGGTGTAATTAAAATAAGGGCAACATTCGGTTGGAGACATGGCTAGAAACGTACACAGGAGCTTTTCCTTGAAGTTATAGCCAGGTATCTTATCCAAGTCAGTCTAACAATGCACATTTCCAAGCTACACCAGCATAGGCATTAATCTTGGATTGCTACCTTTTCCCTTTACCATAGCACACCAGCTCTGCATGGGTGAAACAGAGCTTAATTAAAAGACCCAGGCTATTAAAACAAACACAAGACTAAAAAATTGAATGATAAAAATAAATACCCCATGCTCCCTGTATTATACTCAGCAGCGGTGTCGTAGATTATGAAATAGTCCATGGGACTCAGAGGACTTGGGTTCTATTCCTGGCTCTGGGTGACCTTGGGCAAATCACTGCCCCTTCTGTGCCTCAGTTTCCCTCTTCACCAGTTGCCTGCTCAGAGTGTAAACTCTTTGGGGCAGGAGCTGTGTCTTACTGTGCATTTCTACAGCACCTTGCATAATGGGGACCCTGGTCTATGGCAACAGAAATAATTCATCACCATGCAGCTGGAGAAGAATCTCCCACTCTACTTCACTGATACAAGCTCTTTGACTATTTAAACTGCAACTGACTAGTATTAGTGCAATATTTTGAAAAGAGCAGTTTGTCTTTTCAGATCTCTGGTCTCTTCTCCCGCAGAACCTGGGGCCATCCTGCAGCCCAGTTTGGGAAAGGAGCCCTCTCTTCCTTGAAGTTCTTCAGATTGCTTTGAAAAGAATAAAGACCAATGCTCTGTTTCCCTCCGCACGTAGTACGCTGCCTCCCCAGTCAGTATAGTGCATGTCTGGCCTCCACCCCAGAACCCCCCAGGCTTTTCAGATCCTGACGTAGCTCTGCTGGGGACCAAACTGGGGTGCCCACACATTGAAACGTAGGTCAGACCTATTGCTCCCACATGCCGCTGATGAGGGGCTCCTTTGTACTCTGGCTAACATCCCCAGGTTGCCACCCTTTATATAGAGGAGCCCATTTGGGGTGACAACACAGCCCATCTGTTAATCATATAGCTCATATAGGTGTGGGAGAAGAATTTGCCCTATGGTGGGTAATTCTTCCTGCATTGACTTTATCACACTCTCTCTCTCTCTCTCTCTCTCTCACCCAGCCCAACAACTTGCTATTTGGCTACAGCAGATCTAAGGAGACGGATAGTCCTGGAGACCAACCACAGCCTCAGTCAAGGTTTTGGAAATTCTCTTTAGCAAATAACTTTGGATTTTTTGCAGGCAGGGCATGGAGATGGGGTGTTACGCCAAGCCTGCTTTACCCACACTCAGGAGTGTCTTTGAACAAGCTTTGGTGTAGTTGCTCCACCAAGAAAAAGCCCCCCTGGATGGGGTCATGAGAGCACGCCACAGACATACCCTTTGAATTCAAGAGTAAGAATGTTGCACCCCCCCAATCCATGTCATCCCTAGTGAATCTGGGGGGGAAGGGTTCCCTATTTGAGGGATGTGGGAAAGAAAGGCATTTGTTTCTGCTAAGACATTTTCTTCTTCTATTGCCATGCTGGCAGGCCACATGTGTCTAAGCCGCCTGCCATGTTTTGAAAGGCGTTTGACAGGCTTTTAGATTCTCACTGCAAGCAGCAGCCAAAGAAAAAGAAAAAAAAAAAAAAAAGCGAGCCAGGAGGGTGAAGGAAAAAGGCAACTTTTGAAAATCATTAGCCACGTTCTGATCAATCCACCTGCCCCCGCATTCCTGCAGCGAGAGAGTCTCCCCAGCCTCTGTATCCTGCACCGCACCTACACGCCACCGTCGGCCAGGCATTTAAAAATAGAACTCCCCCATGCAGCAGTTGCTCAGCCGTGAAGACATTGATTTATTTATTTTTAGCAGCACACAATGTACCAGGATTGGGGGTGTGTGTGTGTGGGGGGGGTACAATAACATGCAGGAGAGAAACCTGCAATGCCCTCTGGTACTTCGATTAACAGACACACACAGAGGAAGGAGAAAAATTTCAGACTCTCACCCCCATCGTCTCCAGTGGAGGCTCACACACACAGGACAAAAGCAAAAAACCAAAACAAAACTGATGTTTCCAGCGATGGGTGCGTGTGGGGGGAGTACGGGACATCATCATGCCCTTGAAAGGGGGAAATGCATCGGATGATCGAATAGACCTTCTCCACCTGTAACTCCTGGGAGCCCAAATGCTGATTACGAGAGTCCTTAGTGAAGCTGCAATATGTATAATACACGCCAGGCACGTTAATTAACGTGGGTAAAATGCTGGGCTGAAAGGCAGCCTGGTTAATGCGAGGTATAATTATTACCCTCTCAGGCTGTGCTCAAGGACTGTTTCCAAAGGCTGTTTTATTGTATTGGACGGGCTTTGCAATAATTGCTTTATTCCCCTCCCCAGGTGCAATCTCCTGAAGACAAACCCCCAGGCTCCCTGGAGGGATCCGTGCGCCTCCTGAAGCTAGTTTACCCGCTTAATATGCCACCAGGCGTGCTTTTGCCCATTACGATGTTAGGCATGCTCCAGTTCTAATTGGAATCACTCGCTGCCACTTTCCACATCTCGCCAGCAGAGGTGGTGGAGGAGGGGGTTACGTGAAAAGAGAGAGACGTAGGAAGCAAGTGGACACCAAGATCTTTCCTTGCGCTCTTCTGAGCTTGCAGCAAGAGCCCCGTCATGCCAGGCATGCCCTGGCTGAAATTGGAGGCTGGGGGAGGGGCTTTAGAATTTAGAAAACAGGGCTGGAAGACAGGACTCCGGGTTCCCTTGCCAGCTCTGCCCCTGAGTCGCTGCACAGCCCTGGGGAAGTGACTTGCCCATCTGTGAAATGGGGAGAATGATACCCTCTTTACAAAGAGCTTGGAGGTCAGGGAAGTAGAGGCGCTAGGCATTATCCTGTGCAGCTTTCCCTGACTCGGGCTTGTGGAGCAATTGTATCTAAACACCCTCTTGGCACCTCCTGGGGGTGTTCACCCCCCCGCACTGCGTCCACATAAACATGCTGCATCCAGCACACACAGGAGCAGCCACCCTCACAGCAAGGCATGGGAAAGTGAATGCACCAAGCTACAAGCACAGGAGATCCCTGGGGGGTACCCCTCCCAGCTAGGCTTCCCGGCCTGGTGACAGAGGAGCAGTTCTCAGAGTACCATGTGTAGGGGCCGCTCCCTTCCCTGGGCTTCCTCTCCTTATATTCACATGGGGGGTTCTGACCGGTGACTGAATTGCCAGCCTGCCTCAGAGCACAGAGCCCTCTTTCCTTCCTAGAGGCAACATTAGCCATCAGTGATTGACAGGAACGGGTGGGGGCTGCCAGCCAATCGGGGGGAGGGGAGTCCCAGAGAAGCAGAGCCAGCAGTAGTCTTGTAATGCCATAAGGGGACATAAGTCACAGACAGGGCAGTAGAACATGCAGAGAGACCACAGCAGCAGCAAAAGGTGTCAACTCACCCCCTGCCCTCCATTCCTGCTGGGGAGGTGGAGCATGGGCAGTTAATGGACAATCAGATAAAAGGAAACCA